TCTCCCCAAAACCCCAAAACCCCAAAACCCCTTTTAGAGATGCTGAAATTGAAAATATTCATAGGGAATACGAATTTGTAAGCTCCTGATTAGTCAAAATCATTACATTTCTCCTGCAACTTCTGTATCTTATCATCTCATTTCTCGAGTAGTTGGATTAAATCTTCATTTCCGCTCTCAAGCTCCTTGACGTCTTCATTCCTCTTATTAAGTGCTTCTGTTAAAAGTCTGTTATTTGGTCTCCAAATGAGTTAGATCAAGATCTTGCCGGCTCTGGTAGCGGTCTAGTCTGGAAGTAAGGCTCTTGTTCTCTAACTTAAGAGTCTCTACTTCAGTAAGCAACCTCTGGATAGTCTCTTCGTTCTGGTGAAGTTGAGCAGCTTGGCTTGAAAGAGTATTTTCAAGTTCATATTTTCTGTTTCGTTCTTCCTGAAGCTGATGAATCAGGTCTTCCTCACGCAGTTTCATATCTTCAAAATCTTTAAGTAAAGGGCCCAGGTCTGGGCCTTGAGGCTTGGAGACCACAGGTTCAGAGCACAGATTCGGGTCCGGAGTGAGCTCTGGTTCCTCATGAGTGAGAAACTCATTGGATTTACAGCCTGAATTCACTGAAAAATATCCTTTTTCAATACTTTCTGGGGTATTTTCAATAAATTTCTGGCTTCTGATAGTCTGCTCAATAGGAAACTCACCTGCAATATTGGCCAAATCAAGCAGAATCTTCCTATTAATGACAGGAGACATGTTCCTAAACATCGAGGTTTTGCTGAAATCACTTCTTGGTTTGCTCACATCGACTGATTTCTTCCCTTTAACTCTTTTAGATGCATCCAATTTGGAATTTTTATGAATAAGCTATAACAATCAAAGATTATTAGGAAAGGAACTTACATTTTTGTTACGAGAGCAGTCCTTGCCAGCCTTTGGAAAAGGCGCCTTGGCTGCCTTTCCCAAAGCCTTGCTCTGTGATGTCAAATATACACTATATTTCTTTCTTTTAGAATCTAAAATGTGACCAAGAGACATACTTGGTTTCTTTCTATTCTCAAATTTTGGATTAGAGAGGTAAGCGGGTTTGCTCTTGCTAAAGCTACTCAAATAATTCCATGAGTCTTTGTTCGACAGATCTGAGATTGACCCTTCTGGCTTAGTTTTACTACTATGCTTGTTCCTATGAGTCGAGGGATAGTCTACACCAGAATCAGAAACTTAAATTCCATATAACAAACGAATTTCAAATTTTTTAGCTTACCTTTAAGAGTAAACTTTGAGAACTGGGTGTTACCCAGGTTATTCAGAGTGCCAAAATGTCCCCTTTGACTTGGATAGACCATCTTGTCTCAAGTATGGTCAATACTCTTCCTAAAATTCACCCAAGTGCTTACTGTTGCTTATTATTTCCTCCTAAAAATGAGTTTTAAACTATGAAAACTTTACTTCTTCATAAACTTAGTAGTCACTTTCGAAGTTCGCTTGGTCTTGTTCAAGAAGTGGGCTTTCCCACTGGGAGAGAAGGTCATCCTCTTGTCGCTCCGAGGCCTGCTCGAGCGTGGCTCTTCATATTTTCCCGATACCAATGAAGAGTTCTTGAGATTTGAAGAATACATTTATTATAAATTTTCAATAAATAATTCAGATTCTGGGGTTTTGGGGTTTTGGGGTTTTGGGGTTTTGGGGTTTTGGGGTTTTGGGG